TATTTGCAGTTGTCCGAACTCTAAGCATCCGTATCGCAATTAAATGGCCCAATTCAAACACGGGCGTTGAGAACTGCTCGAATTTTCGCAGCATGTTGAGAACTGCTCGAATTTTCGCACGGCCCGCACTATATCATTTGACAGCTTTAGTGGATTCCCCGTTGAAACGTGATTTTCAAGTGGTCCCTAAGAGCCTTGCTTACATTGGCCCAAGAACGCGCACAGGTAGGCGGCAATGTGGCCTCCCTCTGCGATCCTTATGACTGCGGCATCAACTCGTTCTTTGTGCCCAATGCGCGCCACATGGCTTGGTGTGACCCCAATCGCCCAAAATCTTTGAAAGGCCAGCACAATTTGCTTTCTTGAGCCTGCTTTTTGGGACTGTGAGCCTGTTTTCAAGCAGCGTGCACTTTGGTTTGATATCTGTGGCTAGCAGCTACCTGAGGACCTGTGTTTGCAACTACTTGATGTTGCTATGAAATTCTGTCGGGATATCAGCAATGGCTGGCAGAAATGCCCATGTGATGTCCACCAATGGCTCCAATCAAAGGAACCGATGCCCATCCGAATCGATCTCCCGGGTGCTGTGACCACCCTTGCAACAGGTTGGGTTGATTCATAGCTACCGTTGTTTACCGTTCAGGGATGTCATCATCCTTGCCCGGTCTTTTAATGGGGGCAAGGAGCCCCGAGGATCTTTATCATGTGGATTTGCTACCAAGGCCACGGGCCGACCTGCCTGTTTCTGCACCAGGAGGAGCCTCCACCATGCCAGGCGTGGTTAGGTTTGTGAGCCAGACACAGAGCGCAAGTCTAATTCACAAAAGGATTTGAACAGGCTTAGACAAACCACAGGATAAAGCATCACCAAACCACAAGCCATGGATTTCAACCGGGTTTTCCCAGTACATATACGAAATCAACCACAGGCAAGCCAGACACCGAGCGCGGGCTTGAACTGCCATTCACTAGGGAGCTTGTCGAGGGGTTCCCCCATTTTGATGCCATTTGGCTTCCTACATTTTGGAGCTTTTGCTTCCTGCCCGTTTGACACGATGTTGGTTCCTACATTTTGGCTGTGTTTTTCAGTCCTTCATTTTGGTGCTGTTTTGGTTCTCACAAGTCTGCTCAAAATGTTGTACCAGTACGGTTTCTACATTTTGGAGCCTCACCATTGGTGTCATTTTGCTTGCTACATGTTGGGTCCCCAGTTTTTGGTACTATGTCGGTTCCTTCAGTTTTGGTTCCAATTTGGAACCGCAAGCGTGGTTCTTACACACGCGGCCCCCCTACCCCCCGCCGCGGTGCTTCAGGCGCTCCCGGAGCCCTACGAGAACCGCACCTGGCGGGAGCTGCTGGAGAAGCAAGGCCCCGTCGTGTAGCGCGCATCCACCGTGCGCCGTGTTGCGCCGTGTTTGGGGGAGTTGCTCCAGTGATTATCGGCCGGTTGCTGAATGATTTCAGGCAGCAAAGCATTTCGCATATGTATATACATATAGTATATCTACAATTTAATCCAAAATGCCAGCGGGGTATGTGCCGAAACAATGGTACCCCCCAAATTCCTTTCGGTTTCCCTGTAAACCAGGGCAGCTTCAGCCCAACCCTCGGTCTGCGAGGCGACTTGGTGCAGCTGCTGCTGTGCAAAGGCAGCGCCCACCGTTGGCCTCGCTACGAGGCCATGGTGGCTGCAGTGGCCGATGGGCGCAGGAGCTGAGCGCAGCTCGTGCCCGCTGCGACCGCTGATTTCTAGCAACGACGTCACCCAAGTAAAGGTTTCCTCACTTCATGAGGTCCGTTTCGGACTTTATAGTCTTTAGGTTTGGACCATTTTAGTGGTCCTCGGGAAGTGTGTTTCATAGGGATGTTTTTGATTTTTTGTTGGTACTTATGCTATTTGGTCCTTATTTGAGATTTACCATTTGTTCTAAAGGCTCAGCCATGTCCTCCTGGTTGCGCGTCAGAATATAGTGGTTTGGACCCCCAACAATGGAGGTTGTCCTGTGCTGAGCATGCTCTGCAGTGCTGCAATGTCATTGTTGTGTTCTTGTTTGACTCAAGAGCTGTTGTGTGGAACAATGATGCTTTGTCTCATCAAGACATGTTCAGATGTCAATTGTATGAGCATTGGTTTGACCGCGGTGATTTGTAATTTGATCTGGTGGCGCCGGAAAACAAACACACCCGGCAGTCATGTGCGTTTGTCTTTTTTGGGGGGAGCATTGAACGTTGTCTTCCTTCCATAAAAAGCAGCTGGAATGGTAGATGGTATGAGAGGAGCAAAAATATATCGTGAAACATGAAACATGATTCTCCATACACTCAATCTCCCCAGGCTAAGTTGTTGTGCACACTCGGGAAATATGATATGATTCTCCATGTATTATAGTGTCGCACTCCACTGTGTACTTCTCAATTTCCTCAATCCCCCCTTGCTGATTATTTGTGCGCCAGGAGTCTCCCCGTGTGCAGCCATGACTTCAGCGCAATCGGCGCCTGAAAGGACAAAAAGGGCCGTCGACTGCCAAATGAGTAGTATACATATATATATACATATATGTATGTATGTAATGCATGTAATGTATATAATGTATGTAATGTATATGTATGTATGTATGTATGTAATGTATGTAATGTAATGTATTGTAATGTAATGTAATGTAATGTAATGTAATGTATGTAATGTATGTATGTATGTAATGTAATGTAATGTAATGTAATGTAATGTAATGTAATGTAATGTAATGTAATGTAATGTAATGTAATGTAATGTAATGTAAATGTAATGTAATGTAATGTAATGTAATGTAATGTAATGTATGTATGTAATGTATGTATGTATGTATGTATGTATGTATGTATGTATGTATGTATGTATGTATGTATGTATGTATGTATGTATGTATGTATGTATGTATGTATGTATGTATGTATGTATGTATGTATGTATGTATGTATGTATGTATGTATGTATGTATGTATGTATGTATGTATGTATGTATGTATGTATGTATGTATGTATGTATGTATGTATGTATGTATGTATGTATGTATGTATGTATGTATGTATGTATGTATGTATGTATGTATGTATGTATGTATGTATGTATGTATGTATGTATGTATGTATGTATGTATGTAATGTAATGTAATGTAATGTAATGTAATGTAATGTAATGTAATGTAATGTAATGTAATGTAATGTATGTATGTATGTATGTATGTATGTATGTATGTAATGTATGTATGTATGTATGTATGTATGTATGTATGTATGTATGTATGTATGTATGTATGTATGTATGTATGTATGTATGTATGTATGTATGTATGTATGTATGTATGTATGTATGTATGTATGTATGTATGTATGTATGTATGTATGTATGTATGTATGTATGTATGTATGTATGTATGTATGTATGTATGTATGTATGTATGTATGTATGTATGTATGTATGTATGTATGTATGTATGTATGTATGTATGTATGTATGTATGTATGTATGTATGTATGTATGTATGTATGTATGTATGTATGTATGTATGTATGTATGTATGTATGTATGTATGTATGTATGTATGTATGTATGTATGTATGTATGTATGTATGTATGTATGTATGTATGTATGTATGTATGTATGTATGTATGTATGTATGTATGTATGTATGTATGTATGTATGTATGTATGTATGTATGTATGTATGTATGTATGTATGTATGTATGTATGTATGTATGTATGTATGTATGTATGTATGTATGTATGTATGTATGTATGTATGTATGTATGTATGTATGTATGTATGTATGTATGTATGTATGTATGTATGTATGTATGTATGTATGTATGTATGTATGTATGTATGTATGTATGTATGTATGTATGTATGTATGTATGTATGTATGTATGTATGTATGTATGTATGTATGTATGTAATGTATGTATGTATGTATGTATGTATGTATGTATGTAATGTATGTATGTATGTATGTATGTATGTATGTATGTATGTATGTATGTATGTATGTATGTATGTATGTATGTATGTATGTATGTATGTATGTATGTAATGTATGTATGTATGTATGTATGTATGTATGTATGTATGTATGTATGTATGTATGTATGTATGTATGTATGTATGTATGTATGTATGTATGTATGTATGTATGTATGTATGTATGTATGTATGTATGTATGTATGTATGTATGTATGTATGTATGTATGTATGTATGTATGTATGTATGTATGTATGTATGTATGTAATGTATGTATGTATGTATGTATGTATGTATGTATGTATGTATGTATGTATGTATGTATGTATGTATGTATGTATGTATGTATGTATGTATGTAATGTAATGTAATGTAATGTAATGTAATGTAATGTAATGTAATGTAATGTAATGTAATGTAATGTAATGTAATGTAATGTAATGTAATGTAATGTATGTATGTATGTATGTATGTAATGTATGTATGTATGTATGTATGTATGTATGTATGTATGTATGTATGTATGTATGTATGTATGTATGTAATGTAATGTAATGTAATGTAATGTAATGTAATGTAATGTAATGTAATGTAATGTAATGTAATGTAATGTAATGTAATGTAATGTAATGTAATGTAATGTAATGTAATGTAATGTATGTATGTATGTAATGTATGTAATGTATATGTAATGTAATGTAATGTAATGTAGTGTAATGTAATGTAATGTAATGTAATGTAATGTAATGTAATGTAATGTAATCAATGTAATGTAATGTATGTATGTATGTATGTATGTATGTATGTATGTATGTATGTATGTAATGTATGTATGTCTGTATGCATGTATGTCTGTATGTATGTATGTATGTATGTGATGTATGTATGTATGTATGCATGTATGTATGTATGTAATGTATGTATGTATGTATGTATGTATGTAATGTATGTGTGTATGTATGTATGCGTACATGCTTGTGTGTGTGTGCTTGTGTGTGTGCGTGCTTGTGCGTGTGTGTTTTGTTTCATGTTCCTGATCTTTGCCCGCCATGTTTGACTCATGTTCCAATTGTTTCCCACACTCTCCCATAAGTTGGGGATTTCAGAGATCAGGTTTCGCCCGCATTTGCGGGCTCCAGCCACATCAATGCCATTGACAACTCATGTTACCAGCACGCAGCATTCCAATGATCTCGGGATCTTGCAACCTAACCTTACTATGAAGGCTTTTGATATCTTCAACTTATTCACCTGGACGTCAGTTGAGAAAGGTAGATACGCTCTCTTCAGAGGCCTATAATATTCTCAGGTTTCATGAATCACTGCGGCTGCCATTTGGCGCTTCAGGTCGAGAGCTGGCACGAGCAGGGCGGGGTTTCGGCTCATGCGAATCCGCGGCACAAGTCGCCAGCACGCCAGGCGCTGCAGTTGGTTCAATCACCTCAGCGGTGGGTCCCAGCTTACATGTTTGGCCCATGTTTTTTGCGTGCTTGATTGTTTTTGTTGTGTTTGCTGGTTTGTTGGCTTGATTGTTTTGCTTTTTTCCCCTTGTTTTTCTCGTGTGTTTTTTTTCCCGGTGTGGTTGTGTTTTGCTTGTTTGTGGGTTTGCTTTTGTGTCTGTTTGGTTGTTATGTTTGGTTGGTTGTATTTTGGTTTTGTTGTGCTTTGTTCTGTTGTTGGCTTTACTTTTGATTGGTGCCATGGGTAGCCTGGCGTGCGTGGCAGCTCGAGCTGTCGGCGAAGAGTGCCGCAGCCGCAGTGGGCGAGGTAGCAAAAGAGGTGCGCGAAGGGGAGGTTGAGGTTGAGGGCTGCTTTTTTGGAGGCTCGGTATCCGTGGGGTGGCTTTCACCAACGTCTGGGGAACAAAATGGAAAACTCAGAAAAGATGTGGTGGTTTGACATAACAAAGGAAAACCGTTGCCATGTGGGGATTCCCTACGAAAGGACACACCCAGGTGAAGTAGTTCCAATGGGCAGAGATCTTAAGTGCAAGGTTCCCCGGGACTAGTGTGTGAAGTCTTGGAATGAGGATGATGATGGTATCTGTGGTGCTTCTGTTGCTGGTAGTGCTGCGGGTAATGAGGATGTTGATGGCAGTGGGTGAATGGGTTCCTTTCAGTCCTTTGGTGCGAGGATCGGAACCCGTTTAGAACCCTTGAAACAGGTTCCCTGTAAACGAGTTGCGGGAATGGATCAACCTCACATGGCCAGATTTGGCTTGCCTCTTTAGCTTTGCACATGTTGTGTTATTGTTTTCCTTGGCAGGCAGCGACAAGTATTAACTTTGTTGCAGGCGGTCTGCTGGCCCAGAGCCGAAACCGAACACCTGGGTGATTGAAAGTGGGCTTTCCCAGCCAAAAGATGCGGACATGTGCAGACATATTGTACTGTATATATATATATATATGTATGTATATGTTTATCCGGCCTTGGAATTGCTTGCTTACATGGTTTAAGGATCTCTGTCCTGGGGATCTCTAACTTCAGTTGGGTTGGTATCCCCAATGTACATGACTTTGAAGCACGCGCGCTCGGGTATTGCTATGGTGGATTCCATCACTGAGACACATAATTACCCTGGTTTCCTGCTTGCAATATTTTGGGAATCCGCCATACAGATTGTCATCAATACTTAGTCGTTTATATGGGAAACATAGTTGTACCATGCTTTACAGCCTTGATTTAGTGAATCAAGACCAGCCTCTACATCAGCTTCTTGGAACATTGCACATTGACAACCAACAACCATTGCCATACAATCTCTTAGCAAGACACGCAGGCACCTGGTGCTGGACACCTACTCGCCCTTTCTGGGCAATGCCATTCTGGTATCCGTGCAGATCCCAGATGGGCTGGGAACACCCCCAAAGTGGTGTTTCTCAAAGGGGACAAATTCCTCCAGGGAGGTAGTTTCCCTTGGCTTCCCTTTAAACCATTCGAAATCAGCATGGAACCCAAACAAAGGGGCGCTCTTTTTTGTTTTTGTTTGTGTCTTTTTCTTTCTTTTTGTTTGGGGAGGTCCATGTGTATCTGTAGTGGAGTAGGCCTTTGGACCCATTTCCATGTTTGTTGCAAACAACCCCCGCCCTCCAAAAAGGCACTCTCAACATTGCACTGATGGACACACTTGTTCTCTAGGGAAGTCCTCTTTCAGGGGTGTCATGTGTCTTTCAGCCTAAGGGCAGATGTTGAAAGAAAACCCTGGCGAACAGAACATCATTGAATTTCTCCTGGCACCCCCGCAACCAAATTCTTGACTTTCTCGGGTGGCTCGCCACGTTGTGTTGGTGTTTCGAACTGTTTGTTTGTGTGTTTGTTTGTTTGTTTGTTCGTTTGGTTTGGTTTGGTTTGGTCTGGTTTGGTTTGGTCTGGTTTGGTTTGGTTTGGCTTGGTTTGGAATGTTTGCTTGCTTGTGTTTTTGGCTTGGCCTGGATTGGTTTGGTTTGGTTCAGTTATGTTTATTGTTCGTTTTGTTGTTGTGTTTGTTGTGTTTTGTG